GAAAAGAGGGGAGAAGATATATGTAAAATGTAGAATTTTTAATAAGATATGAAATAGTATATAAGCTGAGCATGAATTTAATTTAAGTCTGTACCAAAAGTTATAACCCGGGGTTAAGCCGCTTTCTAAAAAGAAGTTTTATATTTTTTATGTTATGTGTTTTGTTAGTTTATATTTGCTTATTGAGGAGTAATATTGGATAAGAACTTATGAAATAGTAACAATATGAAATATAGTAAGATGAAATATATGAATGAATAAAATTGAATAGAAATAAAGGAAGAAATAGTAAGAAGTTGGAAAACAGTAATAAGATATGAAGTTGAATATATAAGATGCATATTAAGTTATGTGTGGAAATGTGATAATTTAGAATTATATTGTACTTAAATGAGATGTCTTATTTGTTTTGTTAAGTAGTTGTTGGAAAAGATGTTTTATGTTCTTATGTCTTATGTTTTGTTTGGGGAATTTTTTTTTTTTTAAATTAATAAAATTTTACTTAAAAAAAAATTTGGAGGCCACTGTAACATCTGTTCATGTATGTAAATTATAGAATACATTGAATGTCCTTGAAATGTTTTCTTTATACTCTTCAGGAGAATAAGAAGTCAATAGATAGCCATTTCCATAATGATAACCTTATAGGTCTTGTGGATAACCTATTTGTTGCTGGCATGGATACAACTTCAAACACTTTGTGCTGGGCCATACTCCTAATGATGAAGTATCCAGAAGTTCAGAGTAAGCTGTTTTTATTTGACTGATTTTCAATAAAAAGATAAAAAATAACAACGGGTGGGAGTATAAGAAGCAAGAATGAGTTGCCCTATTTATTTATATTTGAAGGAATTAATGTGAGGTGAGAGTGAATATATAAGATGTCACCATATGAAGGCTTCACACATGTACTTCAGAGATTTCTGAAAGATATATCAGTTACAGAATGTGTTATGCACTTATCACCTCTTATTACTGCTGAATATGAGATAAGGCTGAAGAGAGTTTTCAGCTATGAATTATACATTCCAAGCACAATCATCCCTTAATATTCTTCTATCTCACTAATCATTTCATAATTTATAGACCTTAAAATATAAATAAACAGTGATTAATCAATCTTTTTCTGCATGGGCATAATCATAGAATAAAACATATGGTGAATACAGAAAAAAAGTACAGAAAGAAAAATTACAAGCATTGATCACAAATGATTATCTTCAGATTTGTGTGATGACCCAGGGTGTGGCACAAAGGCAACACAGTTAGATAATCAGTAGGAGTCTCTTTATTAGCTCAAACTTTGCCCCCAATGTCCAGATTACCTTCTGGCTGGAGAAAACTCTCCCAGGAACAGACTTTGGCTGCAGAGAATCAAGTCCAAAATGTGGTCAACAAAAACTGTAACTATAAGTCCAATCAAGGCAAAATAAGTCCAGCAGGGCAGGAGAAAGAATTCCAGACATGAAGGAACGGCAGTAATTCAACACAGTTGGGAGGATGCAAGGAACGCATATAACCAAAGTCAACACAAGATAAACTCAGAAGACACCGCACTCAGCTTGCATCTCTTTTAAACTCTCATTCCCAGGTGTGGCTAATGAAGAGAATCAGGGTCCTTTCCTCCCCCGTAAGCCATGCAACCCATGTTGTTCTCTTCTCCATTCCTCCCTGTGTGCCCTAGGATGAAGATGGGATGGGCCTGGGTCTTCTTCTGAACTCCCTCTTCCTTGTTCTAACTCTTCCCTGCTCTGCCCAGCCAGACTTTGCCCTTCCCCAGCCTCCTCCACAGCCAACGGAGCCATACTCCCATTCCCTGTCAGCTGCTTATCTTCCTCTTCAGATTCAGACTACAACAGGAGCATAACAATCTGTACTATAAATGTACTTTGGAATTTTTCCATAAAATCTCCTTTAAAACAAAATTGATGTGATTCTATTCTCCCAGAGAAAGTCCAAGAAGAAATTGCCAAAGAGATTGGGGTTCGTCAGCCAAGAACAGAAGACCGAGTCAAATTGTCTTATACCAATGCTGTAATTCATGAAATTCAAAGGTTTGCTGATATTGTTCCAACCAATTTGCCCCATGCAACCACCAAGGATATAACTTTCAAAGGTTTCTTCATTCCCAAGGTAGTTTTTGTGAAATAATCCCTTTATTAATGTTCCAATCATACTTTGTACAGTATAAACTATTTATGACTATAATTGAACCCACAATTTTAATCATAAGTCATGATGGACATAAAGTGCATAACCATGTAACTATGCCCAATTTTATGACCTTTTTGTGGCACTCATTAAGCAAACATTGGGATCATAAAGTGAATGCTGTGGTCATTAAATGTAGTACAGTATTCACTGTAGCACCTTTTCGCCAGAAACTGAAAGTAAATGCTGGTTTCTTGGAAAAAACACAAATTGTAGTTGTATGATCATGGGAGGCAGCAAACAACCATAAATGTGGGCTGGTTGCCAAGTACCCAAAATATGGCTATGTGACCATACTGGGTGGTAAACCCAGGGCATTGGAACTTCAATCTGGCTTGTTTTTAAGGGTCTGTTGTAAGAGCAACTGGTTGCTAATTGATCAGTAGTAAGTCGAGGATTCCCTGTACGTAAAATGCAGTTTTAAATCCTGTTGAACACTGAATGTAGCTGATAATCTATGCTTGTTTTTTTCCTTAAACTTTTTTGAGCTACTATGTTTCTCCATGCATAGTATTTATTATACAGTACTATTAATACTATAGTAAATATAAGTATATAATACTATAGTATGTTTAAATATATTTGTTATACTTAATACTATACTATTACATATAATAATAATCTTAAAAATAATTTCCCTGTGTTATCAGACATAAAGGATTTATATTCTTTGCAGTCATGTGGTCATTAGCTGTCTTTGTGAAAGTCGGTCCATTCTCCACCATTCAATCAGAACTGAAGAAGTTTCTTGGATGAGAAGTGAAACCACTTCTAGCGAAAGAAGAAAGTCCAGTTGCTTTTTAAAAGAAAGCACCTTTGGGACTCTGTCAAAGCAATTAACCTAATCAGGGCAAATTATCTTTTTATTATTTGATGGAAGAATTTGGCACTGATAGGCTCTTGCAAACAAAAGAAAGGAAATTCAAGAGGATATACTTTTTTCCCCACAAACACATACATCCTTTTCAAGATTTCATATTATATAGATTTCAAAGGGCCAATAAGATAGACTAGGTGGACATTTTACCAAATCCTTTTTCTGACTGCAATCCAGTTAATTTAACAGTTAAAACAAAAGCAATTTCTTTTAGATGGAGACTAATTGAAGAAATACTTCAAAAAGAATGGATTGGGGAGTACCATAAAAAAAACTAAATGAGGTTTTCGGATAAAATATGGAGATAAAGACTGTGACAACAACAAGATTATAGCTGAGGGTATTTTGTTCACTGCAATTCACAAGAAATAACGCACAGTAGATTAGAAGAAAATGTTTAAAAGGATGAATTACATAAAGCCCTAATAGACTCCACTATTTTATATCAAATTAAGTTTTTATAACAGCTATCTATGTTAACTGTTAGAGAAATAGAAACTAAATTATTAGTCTTTTGTAATAAGTCTTTTGTACAGGGATGGGATTCCACCAGTATAACAACCGGTTTGCGATCACCCCTGTACAAAAGATTTAATGAGATGGAACAAATTACTGTTGTTATTGGGTAGACTTTTGGTTATTAAGATGAATGTCTTATTGAGGATGTTATTTTTATTTCAAGCTATATTGATGTTGTCAATTGTTTTACCTTTAAAGCAATGGCATAAAATTTCATTATAATAATTTCCACAGCAATGTGTTAAATGGAAAATACTCTTCCTTATATAATTTCAATGTTTAGGGAATGCATATTGTTCCATTGCTCTCATCGGTGCTCCATGATGAATCCCAGTGGGAAAAACCTCATGAATTCTATCCTGAGCATTTTCTTGACTCAGAAGGAAAATTTGTGAAGAAAGATGCATTCATGCCATTTTCTGCAGGTAACATCATTCTGTGTATGTGAAAAGCTACCCTGGAAAGAGTTTCAGTGCAACAGAACAGTTAGGAAGGTTAATTAAGATTATAATTATTCATTTGAGGCAATGTGACTATGGAAAGCCATGTAAAATAGTTTAAGAAGCCAAAACACCCACCATTTTTGCTATGTATGCTTTCTTCCAGGTCAGAGAGTATGTGCTGGTGAGACCCTTGCCAAAATGGAGCTCTTCCTCTTCTTTACCAACCTCCTCCAGAGATTTACCTTCCAGCCACCTTCAGGAACATCTAAAGATGATCTGGACATAACTCCTGCTCTTGGACTTATCACCCCTCCCATGCCTTACAAGACCTGTGCTGTGTTATCTTGATCTGACAGAAGAAGAAAAAAACTCATAATAAGCTGTTTCTCACCTTTTAAATGCCTTTATTTTGACAGAGGGACAAAATCTGACAACCTGATTCCATATCGCATTATATTTATTATATTTATTTTGTTTGAATTCCACCTTTATTGTTTTAACAAATAACTCAAGAAAGTGAATATATCTAATACACTATCCTACCCTTATTTTCCCCAAGTTCTTTGGGCTAAGAAGAGAGACTGGGCCAAAGTCACCCCCGCTAGAACTCACAGTTTCCTGGTGATTAGCCCAAAGTCAACCAATTAGATTTCATGGCTAAAGTACGACCTGAACTCACAATCTCCTGTTTTCTAGGCTGGTGTCTTAACCACTAGATCAAATTGTCTATTGTTTAGGTTTCATGTGTTGCGTTAAAGAAGAATAGCAATAATCTATAGAAACATAAATTATAGGTTCTGATAGAGAAGAACAGAAGGGAAATCTTGAAAAGCAAGGTGCTTTGTATCATTATTAGTGAATTTTTCTTTTGTACAAATGATACAAAGCACTTTGTTTCCTTTGGCTTTTACTATTTTTTCTCCTTTCTGTTTCTGTTTAGAAAGTTTTGTCTCTTTTATTTTAAGTATTTTAATTACTTTTTAAAAAGCAGTCTCTCTCTCTCGTTTTCTTTTTTCTTTTTTGCAATAGTCCTAATTGTAAATTCATATATTTGCTTTATTAACCTTTGCCATTTCTATTATTTCTTCAAAATCCAATAAAATAATATTTTAGATCGGGAAATTCCACAAGGCCTCCAGCAACAAATCGGGATATTGGGGGGAGGGGGGGCTATTGCCAAAACCAATGAGATGTAGCTGAATGAAGCATGACCTAACATCTCTTTGCCCAACACCTCCAGAGGAAATCTCACAAGGCAAGCAATGGGGTCAATGTCATCCATTATGATCACGATCCCCCAGGATCTGAGGCAGATCTTATATGAGACTAACTACCCTTTAGGGGAGACTTTACAATCTATTGTTAAACATGTTTGCCAATATAAATATTTTGATAAGAACGTAGTGTCGTACATTATGTTGCAGGTGTAAAAGGTCTTTAATCCATAGCTTCTTTTACTTAAAAGGTTAATAACCACATTTGATGAAAAAATATCAAGACATTTTCGTGGCTGGGACTCGTTTGTTGATAAGGGCTAGTTTCCAGATGTCTGGTAGGTGGGAGGTATCATCCCGTTTATTCATGTTATGGGGGTGTTTCTCTATTTTGATGGCTTCCCTGATTATTCTCTTGTTGAAGTGTTCCGTATTGGAGATTGATTTGGTTCCTTCAAAATTAATTTCATGTCCTGTGGCTTTAAGGTGCTGGAAAAGGGAGGAAGTATTTTCTTCTTTTCTGACTGCGTTCTTGTGTTCTGCGATGCGTGCATTTATTCTCCCAGCCACAAAAACCAACACTGGACCCAAAACAACACATGACGCCACCACCAATCTCCCTCACCAGACTCATACCCAAACCCACCCCATAGACGAAAGGCAACCACTGTACAGAAACCAGATCACCAGCTGCCACACACCCCGATCCTCAAACCAAGCAAACAGACACATCAAATGAACACATAGTCAGGCCTCAAACTCGGAGCCAAACCAAAACCCAGAATGTCATATCATAGCCACCCACTCAGGATATCATCTCATGGAACTCAGGAGGTTACACCACAAAACCTCAGGATGTTACAACACATCCAACAACCCAGGAGATTATAGCACAATAACCAGGATTTCAAAACAATAGAACTCAGAAGGTCATCACACAGCCCATTACCCAGGTCGTTACAACACAGGAGGCTGATAGACACACAGCCAATACCTCAGCCACACGTTCTTACAAAAAAGGCAGCCAATTTGCAGACATCAACTCCATCAACCAATGAGGTGACAGCACAGCCAACCTCCCCACTAGTATTTATAGAGAGATGGCAGCTCAGATCATGGCTTGCTCGCACAAGCATGAAGCCAAAAGCACCAGCCTGAAGATGGTGAGTGGGACCTCATCGAAACATCACCAAGATACTCTCAATCTTACATGGGAAAAGACCCAAACACGCCAAGACCTGCATACCCATACCCATGAAAATCTACGAATATATATATAAAAATGGGATGCCAGGAAATGGTGGTGCTGATTGGCTATGAGACAGTCAAAGAGGCCATTGGTGAACCAGGCAGAGGCATTTGCAGAGAGGCCCATTGTCCTCATGTTTGAGGATTATGCAAAGGGCTTTGGTAAGTTATTTCATTCTGGATCATATTTCACAATCCTTATAAATCTAATCAATATTATGTACATGTAGTCCTCATTTAGCAACTGCCTCAGATAGTGAGTATTTGCTAATGCAATGGTAATAAATGATAGCTAACATAGTAAAAAAAACATTTTTCAACCAATGCACACACTTGTACCCAAATTTCTGTTCACTGGACTAACAGTAATGCTAGTGTTACTACCCAAGAGAACTTTATCTAAATGACATGGCAGCAACCAATGATGTTCGATCTTTGCAGTGTTGGAATTGGCTGGTCCAATATCTAAGGAAAGAAATGGGGGCTATTCTCCAGAGCCTCATTTGGATGATCTACTACTTCTCCTTGCAAGAGACACCATGATATTTTACATGCTGGACTTCACCATAGGCAGCTTACACTTTAAACCTCCTTTTGCTAACTTTCATACTTAAGCAACTAATCGATCAGAGCAGCGATCACCAACTGGTAGTCTGCAAGAAAATTTTGGTCGTCTGCAGAAAAATGGTTTGCATTTTTATATTACACTAAATACTATTTATCTTGTTTCAAAAAAAAATCATATTAGTGGTCCGTGGGATTTAAAATTATGAATTTAGTGGTTCCTGAGGTCAAAAGGTTGGTGACCCCTGGATCAGAGCATACCTACTTCATTTTCTATACTATGGTACAATTTCACTATGCACCATAATGGTGGAATTTACTTGGTAAAATCTTCATGCCGACTTCTCATTTCTAATTTGTCTTCTTATCTTTACCTCTTCACTTCAGGTATTAGTTTTGCTCATGGTGAGAACTGGAGACAGATGCGGCAGTTTTCTTTATCTGCATTACGGGATTATGGAATGGGCAGGAGGATTGTTGAAGACAAAATCACTGAAGAATGCAGTATCTTGACAAAAGCATTTGAGACTTATAAAGGTGAGTCAATATTTCTTCCTGCAAATTTACCAGTGTATCTTTCAGGATCTAGAGGAAACTTTTTTAGAAAAATATGCAAAGAACTGTTATTTATGAGGATTTAGTGTAATTTGTTTTACTAAATTAGTTATTGAAGAGTACAGAATGATGCACTGTTTCCAATGTGAGCACTATTTCTGTACATGAACATATATTAAGAATTGTGTTTACTATACTTCTAAGCATTGAGTTAGTGATATTCATATTATCAGCCTGAAGCGGTTGAATCCCATCCCTGATAATATGCATATATTACCAAATAAAAATTCCTGTTTATGATCAGACATGCCACATTTCAAAGTATGAGGAATAAGTATAACCCATAAAAGTTCTCAAAATCCTTCTTTGTATTTAGTGAAATGATTATGGCAGTGCCCGTGCTATTTAAAATTACATTTATTCTCACATCAATTCCTTGTTTACAAACAAATAATTATAAATCATCAAGATGCAGTAAACTTGCTAAAACTTTTGTGGAGTCAGCAATATTTCCAGGTGCTATCTGGAAATGTGTTGGCCATGATCATTGTTTAGTTTAGAAATTACAACTGTATAAATTTCATTAAGAAAGGGAAACAAAATAGTGGATGCAAAATCTTTTAAGAAATATTTCAAAGTTCACATATGAAAATGCCTGTGTAAATCTAGTGTTTATAAATCTAGGGGTTTATTAGCTCTGTTGACAATTTCAGTTTATCTTCATGGTTGGGCACTCTCTGTTCTAGATGATATGACTCTCTGTTAACTCAGTCCTGAAATCATGGGAGGAAAGTTAGGTCCTTAAAAACTTTTATTGAAACACTTTGCAAGGAATGCATTCATTTTGAATAACAGCAAAAACAAATTGTAGATAAAAGCATGAAAGTTCCTTCTCTGATGTGGATAGCTGAGGCTCTGCTCTTGACTATAGAGAGAGGAACTGTGTCCTCTGAGGCCTTAGATCTATTTGTTAATCTAAAAGCTTTTGTCTTTCTCATTTTATTTTTCATATTGCTAGCAACATGGCTTATCTTCAGCTGTTCTTCCACTTCCACTTTGAACAGAGGGACTAGAATGCTCCATTTTATCTGTCATCAGAAACGTAACTGCTTCTCACTCCAAAGGAAGCATATCTCTATACTGCATTCATGTGTAACTATTTATGTTTTTAAAAGGATATGTTACAGAATTATTCTTTGTGTTACTGTCAGTAAATATTAGTTCATAAATCTGCATCTCTCGCTGTCTTCTATATCTCCGCAGAGTGCAAACTAGTTTCTATGATAAATGCTATGTATAATCAATCTTATCCTCAATCTTAAAGTGACAAAGAGCAGGTTTCATTCTGGGATTCTTTCACAATTCTGTTTTAATTTATTGCTCATGACAAGGAAAGCCATTTGAGCCAGCAACAATTCTGAAAGCTGCAGCTGCTAATATCATAGATTCTTTTTTACTTGGCAAGAGGTTTGAATATGAAAATGCTACACTTCTACTGGAAATACTTGAAGAAAATATACACCTTGCAGAAACCCCTGCTATATTGGTAAATGTAATCTTTCATATGAAGAAAAACTTCATCCCTACAGTTTAGCAAGGTTTAATTTAACAGATAACAGATAATCAGAGTTGGAAGGGACCTTGTAGGTCATCTAGTCCAACCCCCTGCCCAAGTGGGAGACCCTACACAATTTCTGACAGATGGCAGTCCAATCTCTTCTTGAAAGTCTCAAGTGATGTGAGATTTAGATTTTGTGAGATTTAGATCTTAATTAATTAGAACACTTGATTTATCATATCTTCAGCACCCACATATTTCATGGCTGATGAT